TTTCGTATCGATATATCTATTAATTAAAAATCTGTATTTTATATATATTACAGACTTTTAGTACTGGTGATATATATTAGAACACGGCCTACATTGCATGTGTATATAATACAACTAAATATGTATATAATGCAACTAAATTTCTAAGATCCGATTCTACAAATATAAGATTAACTTCAATTATGTTTATTTTTTTTTCAATTCTAAAATTGGAAAATTTTCCAAAATAAATCTTACATTGTGGGACCGATCCTAATACACGTCCCTGTTAAGATGATAATGTAGGAAACGGAATAAAAATATCGATAATTAATCGATCGAATTTCCTGCATGATCATATTAACTTCAGAGGGCGTAAGCAGATCATACATTGGAAATGAAAACCTGTAATATCGACCTTGATCAAGTTCGGCCTTCGCTCCAGCATCCCCTTAAGAATATAAAATTTTTTATCCAAAAGTGAAATTCCCAATATTAATGAAGATACAGTTGATTATATCGAGCGATGCACAACAATCGGTGTCTCTACGCCGCCATTAAACTGTTCCGTCATTATTTGACGTTATAGTTACATATCTGTACTGTAGATGACATTGACACACAATTTTAATATAGATTATACCGATTTCGGTTAGAATTCAGTGCGTCCGTGTACTGAAAATATGACAAAAAGCGATTGTTATTGAAACTTTAATCACCTTTTTCTCAGAATAGTGTTTTCAAAAACACTGGACACCAGAACTACCACAAAATTAATCCAAATGCTTTGAAATTTGGTTCAGTTATTGTCAATTGAATTATTTAAAGAAATATCTAATTTTTGCGATAACTTATATACTTTTTTTGTTATCCACATTTTATGTCGAATTTTTACGTGAAAATGAACTTTTTTTCACGTCTGTACCATTTTTACATTTTTCAATATTTTTAAATTCTGTTGGGTATTTCTCTAGCAAATTTAATGCAGATTAAATATAATTTTTTAATTTTTGGCTGCAGCATACCTTGGATCTGCTCTGCTGTCTTCCGTGGAGACCTTCATTACATATAGAAGGCCTCCAAAAAATATGCTGTAACACCGTCATTTTGTTTTTTAGAATTATAATTTTTATACATTTTGTACATCAAAATATAAATAACAAATAGGTATTAAAAAATTTTTTGTATCATTTTTTGTTTTTTAATGGTATCTCTCAAAGTAAGGTATGATTTTGAGGGTGGACTAACCTCTTAATTAGAATCATTAGTATTATTATGCGTGTTTATATAATATATAATAAAGAAGTTTCCTATAAAATTCTATTTAAAAAATAATTGACATATCTGTCAATCATCATTTTGTTAAGGTAGTTCTTTAGTAATCGAGTCTTCATGAAATCTATGATTTTGAATACAGTCGTACTTGGAAGAGGCTGCGCGAGCGATAACGTCGAGGAACTAAAGCTTTCTCTTCTGTCGTTTCTAAATCGGAATGAATATGTTATGATCTTAATAAATGTATTTGTAAATCAAATTACGTATAGTGGATAAAATTAACGTGCCACGTCAAATGTAACGATTAAGGTTATACATGGTCCTTAAAAACATTGTACAAACTTCGAATGTACAAACTTCGAATGTACAAACTTCGTTATTGTACAAACTTATTATTTGTAATACAGGTTATTTTACTAATATTTATAATTATTTTACTAATTTCTCATATAAGAGAGAATTATAATAATTATAATTAATATTTACACTTAACCACTTGAAGTGTTATTCAATATATAGCTATCAAAGATCTCCGCAATGACAGCTTCTATGAAGTAAGCGAGAAAACCAATCAGGAGATCAATTCTGTATCTTGGAACGAGGTGAAAATTACAAAAGTGAGCGAATTTACTAGAATTCTAACAATTTCATTGGTCAACATCTAGTAAATTTGCTCACTGTAATTTTCACCTTGTTTGAAGATACAGAATCAAATCCCATATTGTTGTCGCGGAAAAACGACAACAATAAAAAACTTTGTTACAAGTATCGACTTAACATCTCTTTTTTTTAAAAAGGAATCTCGCTTTGCGTACTAAATTGAAAACAGAGAAGGGTCTTTTTCATAGCTGTGATAGATTTCCTAACCTGAACGGTTGTCAACTGTAACGATTAGTATCTCTGTTCACGCAAGTTCACAGGACAGAGCGACTTTTTTCTACCAGATTCGTTTATTTCATGAAAAAAAAACGCGTCGATTGGTATATTTTTTATCTATTTTGTATATGCTAAACTGAACAATTACCACCAATTTTACAAAATCATGTAATAGATTAAGCATAATCGAATATAGTGATTGTCATAATTTTTATTACTAATATCTCAAATCTGTGATCGTAAAAAAATGCTTTATTTTTTTATTGCAAGCCAATTGACATTGGGTTTATGTATTGGTATAATACAGATCCAAACTAGCTGGTAAGCCTGGTATAATATAACAAGCTTTGTATCTATATACAGTATTTTGTAAAGAAATGAATTGTGACTTTTAATTAGAAATACAAAAGAAATAATAATATGCTTCTAATACTTAGAAATTAGAAGCTCACAGTTCAGTTTGGAAGAATAAAGGAAGGAACAAACAAGCAACAATGAAATTGCCCATTCTGCTGGATTTACCAAAAGAAGAATTAGAAGACTTAGTCGATAAAGCAAAGGATTGGGCGCTTATACATGGAATATGTTTGAGATCGAAAAAAGTGTTTGATAGAAATATCTTGCAATTCGCACCGTTTACTCTTTTTCCATCACCATTTCCCCGAGAGGAATTCTATAACGCCTGTGATATTCAAATCATTTTGAATATACTTATACATAGAGTAGCTCATGATTATGATTTTTTGAAAAATACTTTGTGTGAGACTATAAAAGTGGACGATTTTACTAAAAACTTATTTAATATCTATAACATTATTCACAAGGAAGGTGTTGCTCAGAAAATATCTCTTGGCATATTACGCTCAGACCTAATGTTAGACACAAGTTGTCCCAAAAAAGATATTAAAATGCTCAAATCTCACTGCTGCTGGAAACAAGTTGAGATAAATACAATTGCTTCTGGATTTGGTTGGTTAGGACCTGCATCCATGCAGCTACATAAGTTTGTCTTGCAGGAACTTGGCTATATGGCTGAGCTGAAAAATCTTCCTGAAAATAATGCTCTACAAGCACTTTGTTCTAGTTTCATAGAAGCATGGAATTTATACGACAATCCACAGTATGTTTGTAATTTCTATAAATATTTATTTTTAATCTTATAATTGTTTATTTAATCTCAAATTCAATGATTGTTACATTATTTTATGTTATCTATATTGTTTGAATATTATTTCGATTTTTTCATATTTAAAAGCATATAATTGTTTGCAGAGCAGTTATTTTGTTTGTTATTGAAGACACTACATATAATATTTGCGATCAGCGCTTTCATGAATATGAAATTCGTAAGCAAAATTCAGACATAAAAGTAATTCGCAGAAATTTAACGCAATTAGTGACTACTGCAAGACTAGGTCCCAATAAGGAGCTAATAGTAAGTAGTTATGTCGTAGCAGTAGTTTACTACAGGTGTGGTTATGAGCCTGGTCAGTATCACACTCAAAAAGAATGGGACGTAAGGTTGCTGATCGAGAGGTCATTGGCAATCAAATGCCCGAGCATTCAATATCATTTAGCTGGTACAAAGAAAGTTCAACAAACTCTTGCAAAGCCCGGTATGGTTGCACGTTTCTTAAAAGATGAAAAAACTGCAGCGAAAATCAAAGAAGTATTTACTGGTAAGTAATTGTTTTCTAATTTATTGAAATAAGTTACAGAAAGATTGTTATGATATTAATATTAGTGTATTACAACATGATATTCTTATTTAGCTACGTGTATGTAAAGTTAAATTATATGAACAAAGATATATGATTTTTTATTTCAGGTCTTTATCCATTGGATTTTGATGAATTTGGAAATGCTGCTGTAGAAATGGGTATTTCAAACCCTCATTGTTTCGTGTTAAAGCCACAGAGAGAAGGCGGTTGTAATAACTTGTATGGAACAGATATCAAAAATTTTCTAGAATCTGTAAAATCTAAACAAAATCGAGTAGCTTGGATTCTTATGGATCGAATTTATCCACCAGTGCACAGAAATTATGTTGTGAAATGTGGAAATGAAAATATGAATTTAGAAATGAAAGAACTAGTCTCAGAGTTAGGTATATTCGGTATTATCATTGGAGATAATAAGAATATTATAATAAATAAACAGGCTGGTCACATGTTAAGAACAAAATTATCCACTGATAATGAAGGTGGTGTGGCTACTGGTTTAGGTGCTTGCGATAGTCCATTTTTAATTGACTGATATGTGAAATTAATTCTATCGCTTGCAACCATGTACCACTTGCTATGCAGTTATATCATATTATATCATTTCTTTCTTGAAATAATAATACTAATATTTTTACTCAAAATTCGATATTTTTATTAAGATTTTGTATGTACATTTGTAAATATACACATATACATATTCATATACAAATATATGTACAAATATATTGAAATAAAATGCATTTACTTATATAGTAATTAAAACTTTTGTTTCATTAAAATAAATAAGATCCTTCTCACTACTTCCAAATTATAAAATTTAAAATTAAATTTGTTCTGTATTTTGAACATTTGTTCTATTTTTTTTGCAGCTTTACCTGATGTTATACATGCGGTGGCCAAATATGAAGTGGGACATGAACCACGAGAGATCTTTTTCTTCCGAGAAGGTAGCATTGTTATGTGGAATATTTCTGATCTCGAATGTGGCAACGTATTGCAATTTTTGAGACGTTACGAGCAAAATCGTTACACAGAAGAATTGGTTCAAACTGAAAGCGAGTTAATGAATTATACTTATGCAGATTCCGGGTATCTCTATTTTTTTATTACTAAATACTTTTATGTTCACGGACTGCACGTATAAAATAAACTGTGAAAAACTTGGACAAATGTGAGTGCTTAAAAAAATTCAGTAATTCTCGGAATCTAACAGGAAAAAGAGTCACTTGAAGGATGGCGACATTATCTTGGCACAAGAAGCAGGAAATTTGGATAAGTACACATTTTCCAATGCCATGGCACAATCTGTCAAGTTAGGCATATGGGAGGCATCGTTAAATCGTTATGTCGATTCAATTGAATTTGTTACGGAAGATCTAAAGTTTGGTAAGAAGATTCAGATGACGCAGCACGAGGTATTGAGAAAACAGGGTGAATTGTTCGCTCTCAGACACCGTATCAATTTAACGTCGGATCTGTTGGATACACCTGATTTCTACTGGGAACGAGACGATTTGGAAAGTTTGTATCAACAAACCTGCGGATATTTTAGCATCGCGAAACGTACGAAAGTAAGTGTTTGATACACATTTTGTTGACTTCTATATGTTTCTAGCTTTAAAATATTTATTGATTACGTAGGTAATGAACGAGAGATTAAATCACTGTTTGGAACTGGTAAGCATCTTGTCGTCGCACTTGAGCGATCGTCATCACGTACGTTTGGAATGGATGATTATCATACTTATTATGGTAGAGGTCGCTTTCGAAGTTTTGCATTACATCGATCGGTATCTTGTAAAATAATGACTTAATAAATAATAAATAATACAAAAGCTGGATAATAATCTATGTATATTATGTATATATATTTTTTAAATATACTGATATAAGACAGGATTGTTCGTTGAATTCCTTGTTATTTAATATACTGACGGCAGATCTGGAGGAAGAGATGGGAAAAGTTAAATGGAAGGAGCGGAAGAAGAGATGCTAGGAGATAAGAAGGTATATGGTTTGACTTACACAGATGATATAGTTTTACTGGCCGAGGCTGAAGGGAGCATGAGGAGTATGATAGAGAGATTAGAGAAGTGAAAGGAAGGGATTGGAGTTCAATAGAGAAAAAAACTAAAATAATGAGATTCAGGAAAAGGGGGTAAGAGCAATAAGGTGGACTGGAGATGGAAGGATAAAGTGATAGAAGAAATAAAGAATTCAAATATCTGGGATGTACGTTGCAAAGGAATGAGGGGCAGAAGGCGCAAAGAAAAGAGTAACGAAAGCACCGGCAGTGATGGGACAAGTATAGAGGATTGAGAAAAGAAGATTCAGCATAATTGGAAGAGAAGGACGTGATTATTTGACGCGTTGATATGGGCTATGGTGAGTTATGGGGTGGAAATCTGGGATTGGAAAGAGAGGAAGGGGATGGAGGAGTTGCAAGATAAATATTTAAGGTGGGTGTTAGGGGTGGAGGGAAAGACGCCAAGCTACACGATAAGGGAAGAAATGCAAAAGTAAGAGGAAGGGAAAAAGGGCTTGGGCATTTGAAGAGAGATTGAAGGGTGGAGAGGGAAGTTTTTTGACACAGTTATGTTTAGAGGAGATAAGAGATAATGTAAGGAATGGGAAAAAGTGAGAAGATTGGGAGAGAGGAAGGGGACAATATTTCGAGGACAGGGGGTTGGAATTGGAAAGCTGAGTTGGCGAAGCCTGGAGGGAGGGTTTAGATTCGAAGAGAAAAGGGATAGGGAAATGCAGAAGGAAAAAAGATGGGAAAAGATAAGGAAAGCGAAATATAATAGATGGTATGGATGGATAAAGGGAGAAGGGATTCCGGCATATTTAAAGAAAGGATAAGGAGAGAGGAGATGTAGGAGGATAGCTAAGTTTAGATTAGGGAATGAGATGAAGGAAGAGAGATATTGGAAAGGAGAGGAGGAAAAGAAATGTAGGCTATGGGGTGGGAATGGGGTGGAATCATGGGAGCAAGAATGGGAAGAGTGTAGGAGTTGGAGTGTAGTATGAAGGGAGTTGGCAGGAGGTTGTAGCATTTTGGGAAAAGAGGGTGAAGGATGGATGAGAGATAGGAGAAAAAAGGAAAAAAGTGGAGGAGAGAGGGAGAGATCCCCATCCTTCCCCACATTCCTTGATGGGGAAGAGAGAGAGAGAGAGAGTAAGAAGGAGAAGAGGTGAAGAAGGCTCTGCGGGGAGGATTGATGAATTATTGTAGTTTTTGAGAATGAAAGAGGTGGAGATATTACAGCGGAAGCGCAAGTCTGGGCACAGGGTAGGATAAGATAGGTTAGTATAAGATAAGTTAAGTTAAGATAAGAGTGGGTGTAGATAATAATATAAGTGTTATTGTATATATTTGTAACTTCAAGGAGATGCAATAAAGATTTAACTAACATTACTGATATATTCTAATCTAAAATTCGTCTCTTTAAGTTTTATAATTCGTATTCTAATCATCAACTAATTAGCTTTTGAGCAATACGAATGTTTTATGGCAACATTGCTCTTTCTTAAGGGGATACTAAAGCCGCATGTTTTACTATCATTTCCACTCGGTGAAAAATCTCCGAATTGGATTGCAAATTTAGTACATAAATTAAAGTACGCACAAACAGGACCTCAGCTGCACTGGATTTCATGAGAAAATAAAAAAAAAATTAAAAAATTCACTTTTGGCTCGTGTAGCTATCACCTCAGGTATATATTTGCTTGATATAAGAATTTTAGAGTCCATATCTTCTTCTATTCCCCTTGTATGAATTTCCCTGTCATAGGGTCATAGTACCATGCCTTGATTTGATCTTACGATCTAGCTTAGAACCTCTTCGGGGATAGAGATTCGGCTTAAGCTTCAAAATAAAATTCAGATTACTTTAATTCTAATCTAGAGTCATCTAGTTCGAATGAATATATAGATTCCAGCCAGCCGTATTTATCCTTTTTAGAGGCAAAAGATATAATTAATTTTACAAAAGGAATCATGGCTTAAGGTTATTTTTGTTAACAAAAATCACTAAAAAATTAATGGCTTTAACATTAACCTAAGCAACTATATAATCGAATAAGCAACTATATAATTGAAAAAGGGAAAATTTTAATAGAAACAAGAGATTATATCAATTCCAATCTGATCTAGGGATTAATGTTAGGACTCAAAAAATGTGGTTCAGATATCCAACAAACTGGGTCATTTTTATAGTCTATCTTAAATAAAAAAGCATTAAAAGTGTAGCGCATTATTAATCTCACCGTTAAAATAAAGTCCCCTCTATCAATTTTCCTTTTGCTGAAAAGTCTTAAATCAATGTCAGGAATCAATTCCATAAAATATCTATCTTTATTAAAATTAAGACTGTTAAAAAAAGATTTATCTAATTCATCAAGAATTTCAGTACAGTTAGAGATTAATTGTCTGAAATTAACTTTGTTCATCAATGTCAAACCAGAGGTTGCCGCTGATTTGGCTAATTTGTCTGTCTCCTCATTGTTTTTAATACCTACATGAACAGAGCGCTACGAAAAACAAATATTTGCATTTTGTTCTTTGTATTGGGAACTATAAATTTTATTTTGGATCATATATTAATGGACATAATCTAAATTTCTTGGGGTAACCGGATCCTATAATGTATAGCCCTTAAACTACTGAGAGAATCTATACAGATATTCACAAATTTAATTTCGTTTAGATGTAATCAATGGCCTTCGAAATTGCCCAAGCATCTGCCTCAAAGAAACTGGACAAGTGATTCAACTTATATCTTATATTATAGTTAAATTTTGGGATCCAAACCGCCGATCTTACGAAGCTGTTATTACTTGGAGTTTTTATTTTAGATCCATCGATATAAATATTTAATTCTCAATCCGAGTTGGCTCTGAAAACCGTCAGGTTCGAGGAAGTCCTATTTATCATACTTTTTAACTAATATACCGGAGTCAAAATCAATTGAAATCATAGAGGCTCCCTGATGCAGCGAGTAGGCGAAAGTCTGGTGTATGTACCAAATATAAAGGGAGTGTTTCAAAGGTTTTAATTCATTCCATTTATTCAATATAAAGAGGATATTTTTTTTGCAACTTTATCTGACGAAGACAGTGAGTTGATGTGTTAATCAATTTATTATCCTATGATCCTATGATGCTTTAATTGAATATACCCTTGAGTAAGAAACCCTTAGACAACTTATTAATCGTATAAATATAGGATCTTTGTCTCGAAAACTTCTAACAGACTCTGTTGGACGCGACTCTTGGGAGATCCAGGACCATCTTATAAGTAGCACACAATAAATTGCTAATGATGTCAAGGTATGAGTTGGCTGCATTAATGAACTAAAAAAACCCCTCATTCAAATTAAGTTGCTGGGCCAATAAAGTTGCGTTAATAAATTTTAATAGCATAGGGAAACTGATGTCCCATGAAAATGCTGATATCCATTTCAGAATATTCATGAACTGTGCAGATTTCTTTTTTAAAAACATGATACAATTTTTCCATCTTAAACCTGGATCCATAACAAGTCCCAAATAACAAATAAATTTACTAAAGAGAATTGAGTGTTAAAGTTTAATTGATTCCGAAATTTGAAATTTTCTGATTCGATAGAAAATCGTGTATTGAGTTTTGTTTATTTCCAATGACAGGTTAATCGAATCCAATCAACTGTGAAGATCATAAAAGGCCTCCGTCAGATGATTGTTTACTAACACAGGATTATTATCATTGAATAAAATCACAATGTCATCAGTGAAATTGAATAGTATTGATGTGGAATTTTGAAAATTATTTTCCTAATGTAAATATTAAAAAGCTCAGAACGGAGCTCTGTGGGAGTTCCCTCTAATAGCAAGTAAGATATAGTTATTGTAGAATCTTATTAATCTATACAACAAGAAAAATTAAAAATAAGATTTGTAAGATACAGGAATATTCATATTATTCAACTCATTGTAGAGTAGATCCAAGTTAACATATCCAAGTTGTCATGTGTGTTGTATGCCTCCTTTATATCCAAGAATAAAGCCCCCAGGAATTTACACTGCATAAAAGCCTTGTAGGCTTCCAAATTAATATAGGCCAAACAATGGTCACAAGAACGTCTCTTTTTAAAATTGAATTGAGACTCCAACAGAATATTATCTAGTTTGATATACCTCTCAAAATGGCGCATAATTAATTTTTTAAAGACTTTAGCGATACACGACGAAACAGAGATAGGTTGTAGACCTACAATTACGTGCTAACACAATTATATGAATCAAATATCGATTTATCATCTCCAGCCTTGAAAAGTGGACGTTGCTATGTAGTTTACATCCACTTTGTCAGAGAGTAGTAGTGCGCAGCAGCATTTTGCGGTTATAGGTTTTGAGCCATCATGTCCTCTCTCAGGTTTCTCTTTGATTATGCTTACGCAGGTTATGCCCCATATGATCACCCTCAAATGTAAGAATAGATTATGAATATCGACTTATTTCGCGTCGTGAAGTTGATACTAAATTTTTTCTTGCACAAGTTAAGACTGTCTTAAGTACAGTCTTAAGATGTCATAAATCAATCCGAGGACTGTATTAATATTTTAAAACATTATATTTAAGATAGTTTTGAAATAAAAACTGACTGATGAATATCGTCCCATGTTTAGCGTTTCATAGTTGGTATAGCTTCCTCCTTATAAACAATTCATAATAGATAGAGGACAGAGATTTAGGAAGATACACTGTCCAACTGTACATACTAGAAACTCTCTAATGTTACGTCTCAGGAAGGCTCGGCCGGTTCCCCGGTTTTGAACTAACCTGATGCTATGGGTGTGATACGAAATTCGCGATTTCGCGTATCAAAGAGAGTCGTAGCAGAATTTGTCCAAGTTACCGATTAATTAAAGGCGAGCACTAGATATCCCAATTATAGTGGATTCCGAATTATTCCACGGTTGCTCCTCCGTCTTCTCTAGATAAGCGATGAATCTCTCTAATACTTCGAGACAGTCGGGGCAACTTGCGATGGCATACAAAGTGACAGTCAATATAGAGCATACACTACAGAATTTGAAACGTTCAGGGAGTTTCAAATGAATATAATGCCGTAAGACCCCTTGATAATTTCTCTTTTTGTTTTCCGACACGGAAGTATAACATTCAGGACATTTGATGGTATCGCTTTCCCTATGCTGGAAAAATAGTGAAGATACGCAACATGCACTACGTAACCACGTGAAGAACGGACTAATCGCCAAGATTCGAGTGTCGATGGGTGCGCGCGAACGCGGATACGTGAGACACATGCTAAAGGCAATTCATTGGCGGCAGATTCCAATTGCCGGAATGTGGAAAGAAGTTTCTTATCTTGAGCTGCTTGTCGAATGTCCTCTAGTTTCCGAATGCCAGTGAAAAAAGTGATCAGGGTACCAAGGTCTCTAAATTCGCTTCCTGGGCGAATTTAGCAGATTCGGGTCGCACCAATAAGCACGCGCGATCGCTTTTGTTAATATTCGATAGCGGTTATATTATTATTAACGTTAGGATGAATTAGCTAAAGCTGCAATTTCACGCAGCGTCAAACGCTAACGGCTTTTCCTATTCTGCATGATCCCCTACATCATTTTTTTGCCGTCATTTTGCTGCTTAAAGTTCGGAGAGGCCCAATTACAGCAGAAAGTAGTTAGCAGACGACGCAGATGTGTTTCGTCCATCTTCGTCCAGAAACGAACGAAATTAATCTTTTTGGCTACTACCAACAGCAATCTATTTCACAATGTTACTGACAAAGTGCTATTTGAGCAGCTTAAATGCACTTTGAAACTCATTCTTAATTCAGTTTCAAACAGGAATTAAATGTATAAAAAACAAATGTTACATCAATGATTATAAATTCAGCGGCTAGTGATTTGTCGCTCCATGAAAAACGGAATTTTAGCGACGTTTTATCGACGGCTTCTTTAGAGAGAAAACGTACCACAAACTGAGGGTAGCCGCTCAACTGTAGCTAGCGTTTTCACGCTGCGTGAAATTGCACTTTAAGAGAATGGAAATGCACACTCAAATGAGATTAATTGAATGTATATTTAATAATAATTCGTACACTAGTTAATGCCTTAATAACTAATTTTACACGACAGATTTAGTTCCAAATTAATTAAAAGTTATAATTTATAAGTTAGGACTTACGATTTAAAAATTAAATTAATGTTTTAAAATTAGAATCTTAGATTTAGAAATTGAAATGCGAAAAAATCGCGTTCAAACTTAGTATTACATTCGCACGCGGCGTTCAAAATCTAGAGTGATGATTAGTCAGATAATGGAAAGAGCCGGTATTTCGCGCGTGGCCTCTGAACGACGCACACTGCTACTCTGCCTCTTTTCTACGTTTGTTTATGGACGTTCCTAAACATCCCCTTCCATTTACTACCCCATCAGCGGTGTGTCGATTATTTTTGTTAGAGTTTGGCGTGTGTCTTTGACCGATGCGGATGTGTTTGCGTTTAGTGTCGCGTCGTGTGTTGCATCATCCGCTTTTTTCAGAGCGACCTGTGTCTTTTTGAGTCATTATTTGACTCGTATTCTCACTTTATCTCCTTTCTATTTGCGCCTAACTCTTCTTGCCTATACTTTTAGCGGTATTTTGAAAAACTATGAGTGTGCCTCCCATGGGAGGCAGGCCGGGGGATCTCTCTCTCCTCCTCCCCTGCAAACGGCGTCACCCTCACTAGTGTTTCGGTTGAACATTTTGATGCCTTCGCTAAAGAAATACTTGCTAGGGCAACGAATGACACGCGTGAGCAGATGGACGTTACAATTGATCGCGCGGCCAAAAGAGCCAATGAGAACTCGGTACTTGAGCACGAACACGAATATGCCATAACGCCGACACGAAACGCCGTAATGGACCGGGTCCGAACCCGGACAAAGCTACTTCTGTCTCTGTCTCTGTCCCTCTATCTGACAATGTGGCACGTGCTCAACAGGCTTCTCACAACCTCTTTGACCACAAATCCGACTGATCGCGCATCTTTTATCCATATGCAGGTGAGCAGCGATTGCATAACCGCGTTCGAAGTTTTAATGAAGAGAGTCGCTAAGGTTGTGCACTCAGACATAGTATGAAAAAGGTCTCGCGTGGCAAAATTTCGGTTGAAATGCGCACTTATGAAACAGCCAATAACTTTGTGACTAACCCTGACCTCATCAAGGCAGGATACTCAATTTGTATTCCTACTTTTAAGATAATGCGCTCAGGTATAATAAGCGGCCATTCGACTTCTGTAACGGATCAAGAACTCAAATTAAATCTTAAATCTTCTTGTCATGTAACCGAAATTAAAAGACTTAACAGGCGTGTCGTTAAGGAAAGCGGTGTTGAATACACCCCTTCCACAGTTAACCTTAAATTTGCTGGGCAGATTCTCTCCAGGCAAGTATTTCTTTTCTATGATTCCCACGAAGTCCCACCTTTTGTCCCTAGATTTAAAACATGCTTTTCTTGCTTCAGAGTTAGCCACATTTGGAAGTTTTGTAAGAGTCGTCCGAGATGCCTGTGGTAAGGATGTTCACAAAGAAGACGAGATGTGTGAGAAGCAAAACCTCCCCCCCCCCCAAATGTATCAATTACTCTGGAGACCATATCACGTCGACAAATTGCCCTCTTTTTATCAAATAGAAAAAAGTACAGACGATCGCAGCCACCGAAAATATCTCTCTTGCGGATGCTAGGAATAGGTTATCGTTTACGGACTCTCGATCTACCTTTAGATCCAGTGCTGACTTAGGTAGTACGCGTAGTGTTCACTTTGCAGATGATGATTATTATAATTTCCCTTTACTTTCGCCAAAGAATGATAACCCCTCACTCGTTCGTCAGTTACAATAAATTCTCCCCCCTTGAAAATGCAGATACCTCTAAACTGTCGTACATCAAAGTTTTTGCTAAGAATTCTACTCGTACTTCACCCGAACACCCACGATCCCTGCGTCAGGGTACTTCCCGCCCAATATCCTCTCTCCCACCTTTGTCGCGGAACAACGATAAACACAAGCAGGATCTTTCCAATATCTGTGCCACTTCCTCTCGCAATACTAACAATGCTAATAATAATTCTACATCATTGGAAGAAGCTAGGAAGGAATATCTAATATCTCCGAACGGCAGATCTCCCAACATATCGAAAGACGGTGTTCTCCTTAATCATGATCGAGCCAATTACTCACGTGATAACTACCTTCATGAACATGATAGACTTCCTACTGGACACATAAATATGGCCATGCTTCTCATAATTTTTAAGCAATTCTTAAGTCATGTAAGTTCATACATAGAACCGCACCCTCCTCGTTTCTATCGGCCGACTGAATATGACGACCCGCGCATTTATTATGATAGTTATCAAGCTGATACTCCCGCTTTTTCTGACGATCGCGCTTACAACTATTACTAATTTTTCTGTTACTTTACTCTCACTTTTCATTTTAATACTAATATTACTCATGTCTTCTAACAAACCTATCTCTATTGCTAGTTGGAATTGTAGGGGTTTACGTGGGAAGCTTCCGGAATTTCAAGCTAATAATTACATACGATCTCTGGTGCCTCCAAGAGACTATGGTCACCGAGAATATTTACTTACACTCTAACATTTTTAATTTTATTAGAGGTGACATTCACTGCTCCGGTCAACATGGGGTAGCTATTACTATTAAAAAGTCATTTCGCTATGATCTTTTTGATATTCACCTGGGCCATCACTCAATCGAGCTCATCAGTATCATAAACTTTACACTCAAGGTCCCTCCTTTGTCATTATTAACATATACAGATATCCGTCGTCACGCACTCCTCCTACAGTTATTGAGAGCCTCTTTGATTATGTTGCGAATCAATCCCATACTCCTAGGCGACTTCAACTTGCATAACGTAATTTGGGGCTGTTCGATTCCCTTGGCAGATGTCTTTTAAACTTCCTTGAAGATCGTAATCTTATTATCTGCAATGATCATAAACCTATCCTTTTGACCCCTCCCGACTCGCAAACATCAGTCATCTTATTAGTGATTATTGTTGTAACGCCTCCTGTCCTGACTGTTATACAGAACTCGACACCATTTCTAGTGATCACTTTCCTGTTGTTATTAATTTGAATATTCTCCCTTGCCTAAGAACTACATTTAAGTATAAAATTAAACTTAATTCTCTTCAAATAAAGGTCTTCATTCACAAGTTACTAAGTTCACTTGTATTGACTTTGCCTCTATTTTAGTAACGACAGACGATGCTACCTCTCAATACGATAATTTTGTAAAAGAAATCAAAGGCACCCTGAACTCTCTGTTCCCCCCTGGATCACGTACTCCGAAATCAAAACCGATTGTGAAACGTCTCCCCCCCCCCCCTTGGTGGACCGAAGAATGCCAGGCCGCGGTTGAGACGCGAGGTAAAGAGACTCTGGAACCGTCAGTTAAGCTCAGAGAACTTATAAACGCACTGCTTCGATATGTAAGGGCGTCCTCAGAAGAACCAAGAGAAGAAAATGGAAAGAACTGTGCAACAGTTTTAACGCTCACACTCCATCTGCTAAAATTTGAAGATTGGTCAAAGCTTTTAAAAACCGACTTTTAGCTTCCGTTATGTCATCTGGCCAGTCGCTGTCGGCTGCACAGGAAAATGCGATTAATAAAATCTGTCCTCCCTCTTGTAGTCCTCGAGATACCGTCTCACAGTGTAACCTTCTTGAAGAGAATATCCCCACACAGTGCGAAAGCGCTAAATTCTTGGACAATCCTTTTACTATGAAGTTATCCCTAGCTATTGATTCAGCCAAAACTAGATCAGCTCCAGGGGTCGACCAGATTAACTATAACATCATTAAGAACTTAACACCAGATAGTCTTTCTGTGCTATTACAAATTTATAACAATCTTTTTTGTCAAGAAATTTTCTCTGTGGAATGGAATAAGTCAATGGTCGTCCTTATCCCTAAACCAAATGGAAAAGGTGTCAGACCGATTTCTCTTCTCTCGTGCCTCTTAAAGATTATGGAAAAAATTATCTATCTGAGGTTGAGGTGGTTTACTGAATCCAATGCCATATTGCCGCTTAACCAAACAGGCTTCCGACCCCAATGTGCCTGCTCTGACAATCTTGTTGCTCTGACAAATTATATTCAGGGCGCCTTTATTAATAACGCCCTTACTATATGTGCATTTTTGGACATCGAGGGAGCGTTTGACAACGTGATTCCTTCTATATTAATTGAAGATTTACAACGTCTTGGGATCCCGCCGAAAACCGTTAAATTCATAAGTAACCTTCTTTCTAACAGACAAATCACGTTCATTTGTGATGGCGTGCTTAAAGGCCCATCGCTTTGAAAGGTACCCCTCAAGGGTCCATCCTTAGGCCTTTGCTCTTCAACCTTGGACTTCTACTGTGCGGATATTAATAAATGTCTACATGAAGACACCCTTTTCTTACAATATGCGGATGACGTCATTATCTTCTCACCAAAATGCTGAAGATGCTAGATCGTCGGTCCAATCTTCACAATCCAATCTAAACAATATACACGATTACTTGAGAAACAGAGACTTGGAAGTTTCCCCCTCAAAAACCCAATGGATGCTCTTTACAAGGAAGAGACAATCACATTCGGACATTAAACTACATATTCGAAATGCAGAAATTCCTAGAGTACAATCTGCCATCTTTCTGGGCTTCATTCTCGACTCCAAGTTGAGCGGCAAAGAGCACCTAAAGACCTTGATCAATAAGGGACGCAATCTTACAAAAATACTAGCAGTTCTCGCAGGCACTAGATGGGGATCATCCAAACCTACTTCTTACCCTTTATAGAGCTGTATTTCGCTCTGCTATCGAATACGGATATCAAGTGTTTAAGCTCAAGGGCAATAAGACTGAATTTTTACAACTGGAAAGGTTAGTCAACAGAAACCTACGTCTTGCTCTCGGATATCAACTATTTACACCTATCAGCGTCATTATGGCCGAAGCAAAGAAAACTCCTCTTAACATTAAATTTGGCTATATAACCTCGAAGTTCATCTGTAAGACTTTTTCCAAGGGAAGAACTCCCCAGTGCTGCACAGCTTTGAAAGCTTGGAATAGGTTGCATGCTCTCCCTCAAGAAGACAGAGGGCCCTAGCTACTGTACCTGCGTTCAGGTACTATGTAATGCAGAAATACTCACTTAAAATCATCCACAGATCCAATATGCCTTATGCTTATAAACACAGTTATGAAAGCTATACTTATGTCAATTTGACAGTTCCCTCACCAATGTTCCTAAGAAAGCGAATAACCGAATACACCAAGCCCGATTCCTAGAAACTATAACTACATACGCCAATCGCCCCATTATTTACATGGCTCTAAGTCCGTTAGCGAGGATCACGTGGGCTCCGTAATCTATTCACCGGATCTTAACGTTGCACTCAAGTTCAAACTTCCCCCGGAGACTTCAATTTTCTTAGCCGAGTCTTGGGCTATTCAGGCGATTAATCTTATCGAAGATCGATGTTGTGACGAGGCTTCCATCTGTTCTGACTCTTTAAGTGCTCTTCAGGCTATATCGTCTTACAACTCTAGAAATGCGAACCATATTATATTAGATATTAAGGATCGTTTGTCCTTTTTAACGCAACATGGTTTCAAAATTAATTTTATTTGGACTCTTGATCATAAAGGTATAATCAGTAACGAAACTGCAGACCATCTTGCCAATGAGGCTGCCCTTAGTGGACACCGGCCTAAATTTAAAATACTATTTCAAGACTTTTTTATGGTCTCCAAGCAATCCCTTAACACTAAATTTCAAGCATACTTAGATCATTGCGCAACATTTAAAAGGCAGCTATATGATGATTTTCATAGAAGTAATTCAGCTAAGCCTTGGTTCTATCATAAGAATCTTAAAAGAAAGGAGACCATCTCCAGAATTAGATCTAACCATTATAGTCTAGCATACAGCCTGCACCGTAAAAATATTGTCAATTCACCTGTATGTCCCTGTGACGACCCAAATCAAGACATTAATCATATTCTCTTTTATTGCAAACTTTATATTCATAAATCGACTAAATTTCGTGATTACCTGAAAAAACACTTTCCGTTTCATCCCCTTAATATTCATTATATGATTAATAATCCCCTCCCCCTATCTTGTGTCGTCTAATTACTGCATATGTCAAATCTTTTTATATCTCAGTATCTGACTTCCATGAACATGCCTTTGTTTTAAGGGAGGGATGGAGAACTTTGTTTCTCTCCTCTCCTCCCAGGCGGCGCCCCCACCTAGTTACCTGTTTCAGCTACTAGGTTCACTCTGGTTGGAATTGCTGCTACTCCGCGGCAAGGGAGTCCAATTAATATTGAACAAGAAGAAGAAGAAGCGATGTGTCGGGGAGAAGCGTCAGGTGCGTCTCTAGACTTAGTGCTCGCATGTATTACTCAGGCCTGTTAGCGAGTCTATTCAAAAATAATTATTGAATAAGAAAAATGAAGTTGTTGCGGACGTGACACTAATCAGAGTCTGATTACTTTTTTCTCGGTGATTGGTCTGACATTTTTCATCTATTCTATTAAATGCATAATGAAAATATATTATGTTTTTACTTTAAATGCATGATGCATAACCATGGATTTGCTATCGTAATATTTATGATTGACACTACTAAATTTTTACGTTTTTTGAATTTTAATCGCCAGCTAGTAGCCTGAACGTGTCAAGAATGTTTGTCAAGAACTATAAAGTTTTTAGATCGTCTCTATAGAGCTGCAACTAGACACAAGGCGAGCACAAATTCTTACATAACGCATAACACAATGCATAAGAAAACAAATTAATCCTTTATTTCCTTCCTTTCTATGAAATAAGAGACTCTGGTTAACTTTTTTATGTGCTTCATGTTTTATACTATGCAAGAGTCTGTGCTTCCCGCTTTACAGCACTGTATAGCGTAACTATAGCATAGTACATACAATATGGACACTGAACTTTTTATGTGGTATCCAATTTTTAGTGCGCATGCGTCGATTTCCAACCAGGAATATGGCTGTCTCCAATAAGTTGAAATTGCAGGTTAGATTAGGTTAACTAAATCTTCTGCTCATAAAATATAATTAACCCTTTCTACAATATTGTGTGAAACTTGTGGTAAGGAAATCGGGCCAAACATGAGTATTATGAGCTCTCGAATGAGAGCCGGATGAGGATCGTTCGTACAAAGCGTAATTTTTTTTTTAATTTGTAAGAAAAAAGTAAGGCAAAGGATTAATAAAATTAAGTTTTACTAAAAAATTAAATCAAATTTTTTCGGAGACACTATATTGTGTAGACTGTTATATTTGTATTCTCGTAATAAAATATGCATGTGTGTGCGTGTGCGTGTGTGTACGTATATTATTACTTCACATTTAATTATAATTTTCATGCAATATATTAATTTTTCATATATAATTATTAAATTACAATTTTCATAAAGTATCTAATCAATTATTTTTAATTTACTTATTACTGTTTAGTATTATTAATGTGAATATTATCTTTATATAATGAGTTCGTTAACATTATATTGTTATATAATTCTGATTTAAAAATATGTACGCTATAAACAATTTTCACATGACACAACCGAATTATCTTTTAAATCATTCTGCATAGCTTTATAAAAATTCAAATTTATATAAGTCCTTTTTCAATCCAACATGGCGGCGAATCATGTGACCTGGGATCCACTACATCAAAGATGCCGACGCTCAGTATTCATACTGTATGTAAATGTATTTATGTGTAATAATGTATGTATTTATACTGTAGCGTGAGTGATGTGAAACGAGATAGTACGATTTTTCTTTCTAGTAATTTCGATGAAAAATTTGATGAAAAATTCGATGAAAAATACTTCAGATGGCCGGCCACTAGGCAGACTCTGATTAGAGGGTTTCTAGCACACTTTATTTTGTCCTTTGACTACAAACATATGGCCTGCTAATTCTTCATTTTGGCTATAGGAAATGCATACTCTCGGGCTGTTTCAAAATTTACTGCCACTACTGAAAATCTATAGTGCATGTGACGTAAACTATAGATTTTTAGTACTGGCAGTAAATTTGGGAACACAATCTCAATGTCGCCGAACTGAAGTTGGCTGAAGATTGGCTACGTTCAGCAGAAAAAGCAATTAGCGCTTAGATTCTTTAATATGATTGGTTTCTACGCATAGATTTAACGAAGAACTAAAAGCAAGAACCAGCAGAAATAGGCTCCGCCCCGAACTGTAAAGACCGGCAAGTTCAAATGCAAAAGTTGCCACGCTTACATTATACACGCACTGTTACTGACCATTCTGTTTCTTCTTCTTCTGTTTTCTCCTTATTCAGTTTTCCGACTCAAGTCATAGTCACAGTACCATGCAAATTAATGAATACTAAAATCCTTTGAATAGTCTCCTCGGGAAGCAGAGACCTTTACTGACCGTTGCACACCGTAAACGTATGCATATAGTCAAAGCTATCCACTCCCGTAGAAAATTACTTTCCGGAACGAAACCTAAGTCTGGATCTAGAATAGATGTTTTAAGCCGTAAGAAATTGACCAATTACAATCGAATGCGAGAAGAATAAGTATAAATTATCCAAAAGGCATGGAGGTGCTTCATGATTCCTATTTGAACATATATTTGACTTATTGAAAGAAAAATTTTAGCGTTTATGGATCTATCTTATATGTTTATGCTTGTATCATTTACCTACTTAACTTTATAGACGTAACGATGAACAGTCTTCCTCAGAAAGTATCAATAATAATAAGAGACTGTTTGAAAAATGCTCCGCACGATAAAATTAAGCATTTTTCATCAAAATTCATATTAAGCCTACGATTTCTTACTTTTCTATTTTATTTTACTTTATTAAAATATTTCTTCTGATTATTTTAATAGATTGACTAATCTTTTTTACAATATCTGATTACACGGATTGTACAATATTTCCTTTGGACTTGACAGAATTCTCACCTCGAATGAATTTGTTATCTTCATTTTAATTATTGACGTACTTATTTATATATTTTGTAATTAATGTGTATATGATATGATATATCTCTTATTACACTTTTATTCTGTTGTATTAACTTATTGTTAGAATATTAAGTGCGATCTCTATAATAGAATAATTTATATATTGTGGTTTTGACTTTATCTTTGTTTAGAATTGATGAAAACTAAATAAAAGTCAAAAACATTTTTTCACTACAATATATGAATCATTCACATTATTATTTATGTTACGTTTATTATTTACTATTTTTGCTCCTTTTTGACCTTCTTTTGTCTTTTAATTGTTCTTTCTGTTAACTTGAAAAGTTTGCCTAACATTTTTTTATGAAATAAAATAATATCTTAAGAGCAATATCATAGATAAAATTATATATATTTTCATGATTAATTTACATAACATAATTGTCTGACGGTATAAATTCGGCAATCTTTAATGGAATCACGAATCTGTCGGCATTTTGTTCGAGCAGACAAGCCAGTAAACGCGGAACGGAGAGAATAGTGCCTGATATTATGCTAGGAAACTCCCTGCCAGTGGATGTTTGATAGACAATCAGTAATCTCTTGCTGATATAATCGCCATATGTAGATACGTGACCGATCTCAATGTATTGGTTCATGAATGGCGACCACATCTCGAAAGATACGCGCATTTCCTCAGAAGATTGCAACTCAGACGCGGGTCGCATGACAACGCGATAATGATCGCACAGATCGTCGTACAATCTGCATACAATCTCCAAAAGTTCTTCGAACAAGATTTTGTATTCCTCGCTCTTTGCATCCTTCACCATTATGAAGGAGTGTGCAACGGAAGCCTGGCATACGGTGAATAAGCCATAAGTATGCGAATCTCGCGGTGATGGTACATACTGTTTGCCAGTGGCAAAATACTTAAGCGGGAAATTCTTGGGATTTATCAGCTGCTTTGTATGCAATGCCAGGAAAGAGGCCAAGCTTGCGCCACCGACCAGATGCATGCGATTTGGCGAACCTCTCTCGATTTCATTATGATTCTCTATCATAAAAGTGGTCATAGGATCCTCGTGATTCAAACCAGAAGCCTCTACCACAAAACTGCGGCTGAAATCAGTACCGACTATCTTAATCATGTTGTTTTCGCCGAGAACTCGGCCTGCGTGTGCCAGTATAGCAAGCTCGAACAAAGCCGCGTCGTTGCTTAAGAAATAACACATAGGATTCTTGTATTCTAGCAGGTCTAGACTAGTCCCAATATCGAGGTGACCTCTCTTCTTTTCCGATATCTCCGGCAAGTTGCCAACACTCTTCAGTATCACCGGTTCGCCGACAGGCGTTCTAGGATCCAATTCGTTCGGTAACTTCAAGACCTTTTCTATTACATCTTCATTCAAGTCCCACATCGCTTCCTTCATCGTCTTTAAATCTTGCCGTATGATCTTGAGCTGTGTACGCAACTTGAGCATCTCTTGTTCCTGCTCAGCAGTATGCTCGACGTTTTCCAGCAGAGTTTTCATGCGATCCGTCAATTTCTTGTTATTGTTTTCTAATGCATATCTGTCCGCAACCACCTTTGTATAGAAATCCCACGCTTCCTTCAATAGAACGATGTCTACATCTATCCCGCGCAATGCGAGATTTTTCTGCAATTTGTCTACATTGGCGAATCTCTCATCGAAGTCTAAATATGGCGACAGATACGCAAATGATTTGTAAGCTTTATTACCGGAAATGTACAGTGCTGAACTGTAATCTCTCTCAAAGTTTAGTGGGTGGGAAGTCCTTCGACGAACATCACGTATCAAAGTTCTGTATGTACGCTTCAAAGTGTAAGTAAATCTATACAAGTTATTAATCATTGCAATTTTCTAATTTAAATTTTTTTCTCTTCTTTCGTGTAAAGAAAAAGTAAAAATACAACAATTTAAAACGAATTATAAGGTAACTCTATTCGTTTATTTTCATTACTTTAGCATCTGACGCAACATTTATGTTCAGATCTTTCTGTGTCATGGTTTCAATCTTTCGTTTTTGTGGCCTGATGTAACTTCCTTTGCCTGCTGCTCTTTCTGACTCTTGGATAGTGTACGGCTCTAATTCGAGTGCTTTCATTCGTCGTTTATGCCCTTTAGTATTGAAGTGAGTATGCAGAGCAGTTTTGTCTATAAAATACCTCCTAAAATCAAATTAAATTCTTATTATTAAATGTAAAACAATAAACAATGCCGATATGAGCCAACACAGAATATTCGAGTATAATTTAAACGCAATTTATTAAGAAAGTAAATACATGTATACATTTTGATTCTTAATTCAAGTCCTCATCGATACAATTAATCACACAATACAAATTATTCGAAAAAACGTATGAAAGAAAATATTCTAATACATGGGTTAATGGTCAAACTATTAGATATCCACTTGTCAAATTTTTGTCATCAAATTGTTCGATTTGCTATACAATTACAATTAGATTTTATAATTATATTGGAGAATCAATTTTATGAAAAAATAATAATTACTTACACGAAGTCAAAGAGTGCGAACCATGCAATTATTGCGTAACGCAATTATTATTAAATTGTCCGTATTGTAAGTATTATTAAATTATCGTTAAAAAACAAATCGTGAGAAATTTGGTCAATATATTCTTAAAAACCTTTTTTATACATTTGTATACTATAATATTTCCCTAGTTTTTCGTTTTTACATGATTTTACATTCTTTTTAAGAATAGATGAGGTTATTTGATACATTTCTTTAGAACAGTCTTGTCTAAAGATTTGTAATTCTGCATGACATAATCATGTAATTCATCTCGCATAATTCTGAGCATTAGCTTGTATTCACTCATATTCTCTTTCCTTTTCTTAATTCTCTGGAGCTGATGGATTTATTGGGCTATATGGTGATTGTTTCAATACCAAATATTCAAATAAAAGTAAAAATAACTTTGTCTGTGAAGTACTTAATATAAGTGTTAAGATAAAAATTACATTATATTTGAATTTACTATTGGTTTTTAATTCTTGTATCTACATATTGTTATTATTGTAGCATTACTATTTTACACAAAAATATCAAACGATTCAATTTTTTATTACGTCTACAAATTTTGATTTTTATTAAAATAAATCTACTATTAATTCTTTTTTTTATGCGAGTTATATCATTTTAGTTCTTAGAAATTAATTATTGTTTAATTGTTGTCTTTTAAATAAGCTTCTGTGAATGCACAGTTTAATTTTTACTTTCATTAAGAGAAAAATGTACCAAATTTTAATAATATTTATTCAAATAGTGCCAGATGAATATTTACTAAATGTAAACATATATTTATTTGGTACAAGAACCATTAATTTGATTTACTTATTATTACATTTTATTTAACAAGTATTTATTTTCTACAAATAAATGTTATATTAGTACTATTCAAACAATTATTTATTAAAATTTAATACATTTTTTTCTGTTTTCACTAGTGATCAGTGTTTTCACAAGGTGGATCAAGGTGATCCTAAATATAAAATGCAAAAATGAGAAATTATAAAGTGCATCTATGCAAAACTATTCCTTATTATTTAAAAAATGGAGTGTTTGATGAGGCATTATAACAAAATTCACACAATTATATAAAAATATAAAAATTTTTACTGTTTAAAATTTAATATAGATACTCAGGTACACATTGACAGAAGGTTTAAATGGATCTCACAGATCTTGTCAGTAACCGGATAAAAAGCAAGAAAACAAGATGTAAAAAATAGCAAAAAGCAAGAAACAGCACAAACAAAAAGCACATTGTAGAATAGATTTTAAATAATATAGTACAAAGCAAAAATTGAATCAATTTCTTATATAAATTCCCTTTTCCATCCAGATTTCCTCATACAAATAAAAAAAATTTCCTATTAACAAGTCTCTTGTAATTCAGCCTGATCTATATAGCATGCAAAATACAAGTCGCAGATCACAAAAGTTCATCCTATCTTTTGCATTCTACACTCCTGCGTTCTGTAGCTCATTATATTCATCGATATATATATAGATCTTAAGTCGATCGTGTGAAGCGATAGGGTGTATTCGACACCTCATATGTGTTCAATTTGATAGCAATTGTGGAGTTTAGCCTCATCGCATCAAATTTTGGTAAAATTAGTCTTATTCAACGCGTTTTTGCATGAAATGAACGAATTTGGCAAAAAAGCGACAATTTTTTCGCCAGATTCATTTATTTCGTGCAAGAATGCGTCAAATGAGACTAATTTTATCAAAATTAGAGGTGAAGAGGTTAAACTCAACAATTATCGATTTGAATTTTTAGGTTAAACTGTTATATTGCGAACTTACGCGCAATGCACACAATAATACTGGGCTGCTCCCGGCTTATCGAAGTCCACTTTCTGGTTTAATAGCTTCCTCGCGTTCTCTTCCTTGAGATCCTCGTCAATCTAGAAATAATCACTTTATTATTATTTGTCGAGGCGATGATCGCAAGACGTGAAAAACAGGACGAGCCAACTATGTGTCGAGGAGGTTATGTTTAGACAAAATTAACGCGGTACCTCGTCCAAGTCCTTCGTCCTCCGTTTCGTCCGATAACTCTTCTTCAAACGCTTTTCACCTCCGTGAGTCTTTTTACGTTTGTACGTCATCGTTTATACTTGGAAAAATTACTCCGTCGAATTCGTCTACAACCACGTGCATGACATAAGAAACCAACGGCTACGATCGATTTGAGCTGCGTTCCGTTTCACGCTCGCAACACTCGCGAGCATCGTTTGTCTTTGTTTAATATCTGATAAACGACAAGGATGAAATAATTCTGCGAGCGTTGTGAGCGTTAAATGGAACGCAGCCTTGGATTCACGCGCTTTAAGCGCTTGTAATCATCACTTTGTCTTTATCATTTATTAGACGTAAAATAAGGGGCTCCACGCAATAAAAGGAACAGAGAACAGAATGGAGAGAATAAGAATTTCAACCTATCAGAAATTGTGTATTCTACAATACATAGGCAACAGGGAATAATAAGCTGTCTAATCAGAGTTCTTAGATATAATATCGAACATACCAGAGCTCTGATTGGAGCTCTGATTGGAGTTCTGATTGGCTCGTTATTCCCTGTTACCTATCCCTATTGTGTTTAAGCCTTAAGAATAAAAAAAAATTTGAGAAGTTGCATTTGGATTCTTGCCTACTGCACACTGGACGCGATAAGCGATGAACGACAAGCGATATCCAATAAGAGCTTTGCTTTGTATCGTCACGTGAGAAAAAGCATAGCTTTTATTGGATATCGCTCGTCGTTCATCGCGTCCAGTGTGAACTAGACATTACCCACGTGCTCCTTGGGTGTCATCCTTGTTTAACGTTCGATAAACAACAAGGATAATATGACATTCGAGGAGCACCCAGGTAAAAATCTGAACGCAGCCAAAAAGGACGTGACGACTCAAAACCTGTAACCGCAAAATGTTGCCATGCACTACTACCTCCTGACAAAGTGGATGTAAACTACAAGATCCATTTTTCTAAGGGTAGCAATGTATTTCTAATTTAATCAGATTGATCCCATTCTGATCCCATATCCAAAACATTAAATCATCCATATGATTAACTCAGGACATTTATAATTATCATTGTACTAATATATTGGGTCATCTAAAAAGTATCCGCAGTTTTTTATCACTAGATATGTGTTGATGGTCATACATCTAGTGACAAAGTACCGCGGATACTTTTTAGATGACCCAATAGAATTTATAGAATGGTAATTATTGTACATAAAAAAGCATAATTAATAAAATTATCTTTCTAGTGGTTTATAATTAGATTTTATACTTAAAATTGTCTGAAATTTATCTTCAGATACCATATAAATCACCTTACTTCGTAAACACAATAGCCCTAATAGCACAATATGAATAATGATGAACAATAATTCCGATCGAAATTCATTCCGATTTTGTTTTCACGATAGGTGACCTGCTCGTGAACGATTGAATGTGATTGATCCATAAGTAAAAACCAATCATGTTTATTTGCTTGACGAGCAAACTTACTTTCTCGGTCATTTTCACCTTCATAACCATCTTTCTTGATGCAAATTCATGGCCGCAGTACAGACTCTTGCATAACGCATAATACATAGTATATAAAAGAATCAACTAATCGAAATTCTTCTTTTCTAAGGAATGAGAGGAAAAGGAAGATTCTGATTAGTTGATTTGCTTATGCACTATGCGTTACGCAAAAGTCTATGCTGCGGCTTTAAAGCACGATTTACAACATCGCGATCAACGCCGTCAGTCACCGTCGTCTACTGTGACCAGTAGCTACACATTTAAGCATGATGCTTCCGGCATACCAGCGCGATACCTGAGAGTATATCTTTAGAATGAAAACATTGGTAAAGCTGTACACTCATTGGATATCGTGCTAGTGTGCCGGAACCATGAGTCGTATATACTTGTATGTCATACAAATGGTTAAATGTATTGGCTCCTGCACACAGAACGCGGCAAAAGTCAAAACTTCCGTGGCGGAAGTTATCGCATTAACCAATAATTCTATGTTTTTAAGTCGACCTCACCTGACCTCTTGCAAAACTTCTAGAAATGATGTAATACTACTTCCGCCGCGTGGCAAAAGTTGGAATGAGTTCAACTTTTGTCGCGCGGTGGAAATTATTGGGTCATCTAAAAAGTATCCGTGGTTTTTTGTCACTAGATATGTGTTGATATCATATATCTAGTGACAAAATACCGCGGATACTTTTTAGATGACCCAATATACATCTATTAGTTCCCAGCAAGCAAGATGTTGATTCGCTCTCGCGTCAACTTCTGTCGCGCGGCAAGCGTTGCCGCGATTTGTGTGCAAGAGCCATAAGAAAATTGAGTACGAGAATACGTGAGCAGATATCAACAAAAAAACGTTCTCAATCTGTCATATCCGACAACTGTATCAATTTCAACTACAGAATCTTTGTCTGACTTCAACCGACTTTCTACAGAAACACTTTTTATTTTTTAACTTTTTATTTTTTGATTTTTTATATCAAAGATATTTATTCGTATTAATTTTAACTGTTACTAAATTATAAATTCATATAATATATAAATTATATTTTACAAATTTAACTTTTTGCAATGTATCATCTCAATGTATTGTATTATCTGGTTTGCTATTCATATCAATTTCTTCTTTTTACTATAAAAATAATCTTGCGCTGATAATTCTTGTATATTATATTTTATCTACAGAACTAAATTCACTTTCTTGCGTTGTATTCTCTGATTTACATTATATCTAAGGACATTATTCAAGCTACTCAATGTTTGACTACAATTATCTGCCTTTATTCAAGCAATTCAACGGTTGACTCCAATTAATTATTGTCATGCGACGATTTTTTCCAAGCTACATTATAACTGTGAACAGGATGATAATCGTTTTTATGTTACCAGCGTTTGTTAGAGAGAGAGTGAAGTATAAATTTATATTATGTTTTGTTTTTACCATTTATAATATTATGTTCTTAACATTGATAAAGATCGCGATTGAACGTCTGTTTGTTTATTGCTAGCACATTGTATTAAATCAACTAAAGGATTGTTTCTTTTACTTATGTTCAAACTTCTATAATAACGATGTTTAATTTTAATAAATAAAATAATTTTTGGCTCGTAGCCCTTTTCTTTTATTGTTTTTTAAATCTTAAGTTGTAAGAAATTGACCAATTTTCTTGTAGCATGCCTTAAAACTTAAGTAATAATAACTTATTATAGAATGCCCGTTATTCTCTGCAGGAATGTCAGATCCATGAATTAATTGTTAAACAAAACTAAATGCTGCTAAAAAAAAACATTCTCTACCTAGAGTCACTGGTCGCTGCTTATCTGAAAAATACAGGCAATAGGAAACAGGGAATACAAAATTTCAATCTATCAGTAACTGTGTACTCTGTGTAGAATGCATGTTTTCTGATATAAGTATTAAATCTGTTATTTCCTAATTACAAATAAATGCCGAGCGCAGCTGTTATATAATATGAATATAACAATAATATATAGACCTTATAAATTTTACATAATATATAATATAATGATTATGTACCTTCGACATAATATCTGTTATACAAATATATTATTAGGTGTTGGAATTAATTCGTAGCGTTTTACAAAGTATTTATAAGTTTTAAAAGTACTTTCATTAATGTATTTTTTAATGCTCATGTGAAATAAATAACATTCTTTCATTAAAAAACGCTACGAATTAATTCCAACACCTAATACATTGAGATTATGTTGCCGTTACTTTACTGTAACAAGTACATATCAAAATAATGCAACATAACATAGTTATATAACAATTATTTTGTAGTTGTATCATTACAATGTAACATTCTGTTATATTACGTGTTATTTCTAGGTTATATCGTAGCTATTTTGTGTTTGCTGGGTAACTTCAATGATTAATATTTCGGTCTACAGGACAGAGTCACTTTTTTGCCAATTTGTTCATTTCGTCCAAAAACACATTAAATGAGCCTAATTTCGTTAAAATCAGTGAGGAAAGTAGAATTCTCGAGTATTACTAAAGTAAGTTTACTATCAAAATGCGCGCGCAGAGAAGATTGCTCCGATAGTTTGCCTCTCGCACTGTTCTGCCCAGATATATACGAGTATATAGCTAATGTTGGGTCTATCTTATATGTCTATGGTAGACTCCACTCTTGCTTATAGCACACGATTTCCATGCGGAGCAACTTGGTGAGATGGGGAATTCGCTTTGCATGGAAAGTCGTGTGTCCCTGAAGCAGAGGAGGAGGGGATAAAAGCCACTTCGCGTGAAGTGTTAAGTAAGCAAGGAAGGATATAGAAAAGTTATAGATATTTTTAATAATATATATATAGTTAGTTATATATATGTATTTTTGAT